TATCAACCCTTATTAAAGCCAAAATATATCACATCTATTTATTCCCTATTATCCATTAGACCAATTACCCTGTCAAAGGAGAAAATTAGATTGGTTTGACATGACTTGTTCTTGACAAATTCATGTTGGCTCTTTCTTATCACATTATTGTCCTCTAGGTGCTTACAAACTGATACTTTAATCATTTGTTCTAGATACCAAGCATAACCTAAATAGGTTTTAAGTCTTCTGGTCCTGCTTCTTTCCCCATGAAAGTTAGAACCATAGTAAAATCCTGTGGAGCTTATCCTCCAAAAAATCCCTCACTATTCTTTTACCGGAACAGCACTTTTTGAACCCTGACAACTTCACACAGTCGAACTATGTATCGATTCAGTGGTATCTTTGCTTTATAGAGATGGAGAAAAACAAGATAAAAAAACAACAAATAAGGACTCCACAATGAGCATTCAGCTCATGATTTTCAGGAGAATATCACTACTGTTGCTATTTAAGTCAAACAATAATTTCTGGCTAACATGTTTGGAAATATTTTTACAATGTATCATAATGGAATTCAAGTCCTGTGAGTACATAAAAACACTGCCCAACCTTTCTCTCAAGGCAAGCTGGATTATCACTCAGCCATCTGCATTAAAGGAGAAGGCAGAGAAAGAGAGAATCCCTTTGCAAGAATTGACCTTGTTAACAGACACTGTCACTACCTTGATCAAATGATGAAATTAAAAATGTGGGTAAACGAAGATCAAATAGTCAAGACAGGTGATCAAAAAGTGAGGAAAAGTTAGTGAGTTCTTTTTCTCCAAGCCATGGGGTTGTTTGGGGGGGGGTTTTGTTGGGTTTTTTTTTTGTTTTTTTTAGTGATTGCTCATGTTAGCACAGAATTTACTCCTACAACTACCTGTAGGCACATGAGTTGTCCTACTGAAGTCAGCTGGACTTCATTTTACAGGGTGCTTTTAGCAGATGTTTAATGTTTACTACAAAGCATATATTTAACAGTTCTGAACTGCTGCAACAGCTCTCAGCAGCTGCCAAAACCTAAATGGCAACTCACACACTTGCAGCTAAGCACATACTTAAATGTTTTGCCCTGTACTGGATGCGCAATGTGAATGTAAATGTTATATATAGATCTCTCTCAATGCAAAAAAAAAAAAAGAAAAAAAAAATCACCGCTTGAATCAGACTCCACAGAACCTACCTCTGCTGTTCTAATGTTTTTTCTCAGCATGGAGAAGCTTTGGTTACTTGCTCATTCCTCCCTTCCCTTGTATGAGAAGATTTATTTTAAAAAGAAATAGTGAACACACAGCTGTCATGAAGATTTATAGATAAGTCCTTTGGAAAGAAGCTAAACAATTTTAGACTATTGTACTGCCTTTTCTCATTTTTCTTTGAAATGTAATTTTGATACCATGTAACCAGAAAAAAAGCGCTTCTGCTCTGAAAGAAATCTGTATCAAAGGGGAGAAAATTCTGTATTCTCTGCAAAAATGAAAAATCTCACAGACCAGTTTTATTGTAAACATTTTCATAATACTGTCGTGCAGTAGGTAAATAGAATTTCTATTCATTACTCTCTGATAAACCCTATCTCCAGCATCTAAAAATAAAGACACATTGGTAGAACAGTCGGAAAGCACTAGGTTTCTGAACAGAAAAACTATTTATTGTTGTTATGGTTTTAAATCATGTTAAAAAAAAATGCCAAAAATGAAAGGTAGGAATATTCAGTAAATGAAACCTTTTTCATAATAATAAAAGAAAGAATTACAATGTATGTGCTTGCCATTCATATACTAAAGTTATCAGAAAATTATAGCTAATAGCTCTTTTTCTTCAAAGCAATCTTTCCCTTAAGTCTCAACATTACATTTTTAGTTTAGCACATTTTTGCTTCAAAAACTGGTGGACATTCAGAATTACACAGGCAACTGAGGAACTTAGCCCTGCCTATTCCCCTCACATTGCAGAAAAGCATTTCTAAATTGCAGTGGAACTCTGCCTACTTATTATTTCTTGAACTGCCTCAGCAGAGCACTATGTGATTTTCAGCAGTAATAACTACATGCACTGGAATGAGAAGAGACCATCAAAAAGATATGCACAAATCTCTTCTGTGTGGTAGGGCAAAGGGGGGAGAGATATAGTCCCAGGTTAATCACTGGACAGCATTTGGATCATAATCTCTACATCAATCAGCAACATTGGGGTTGCTTTAAAAATTAGGTGAATATTAAAAGTGGAAAGTGAAAGATACTCAGCAAGAAGGCCTCCCCATTCCATAAAGTTAATGATATTGATCAACTTTGAGAGAGGGGAGCATTAGAACAATCTTCCACTGAACAGTGTTGGCAAATTGGAGTTCAAGTCTCTATCACTTGAAGGTGTGAAGGGACAACTAAATATCTGCTTAACAGCTTTTCTTCCATGAGTTTGCTGTGAACAGTATAAATGAATAGATTTCTTCTGAAACCATTTTTTTGGACACTGTAGATGAGACTGAAAATGGCCACTGCTTCTTCCCCCTCTCTTCTTTGTAATCCTTTCTAAGAGCAGCAGAAAAGGAACAGTATGGGAGCATACCAGTCCTCTGAGTAAGACGTATCAGTGTCCGCTGATATCTTGTTTGCTTCTGTGTAGAAGAATTTTTATTTCAAACATTTTATTCTGGAAAATGCCTAGCTCCTGTCAGCTGGAAAATTTTCCACTCCATGTATCAATCCCAGTTGCGTATCTACTAATGACTATGTTATTTTAATGATGTGTTCATCCTCTCTTTTGTCTGGATCTTTTTGCAGACTAACAAACAGTATACCCTCTGAAAGGTGGTGTTTCACTTTGGTATGTAACACCAAAGTGTTTGATGTCTCTTGCAGCTATATACTATGTATGATTCAGCATGACATGCTTTTTCCTAAGACAAAGCTGAAAATTATGAGTGATGAGCTGGGCTGCTCAGTCAGTGGGATCCACCGTGGCCCAGAAGTCTCCATCATCGTCTCCCCATGAATGGCTCAGTATACACAGTCCTAATTCTAGCATCTGGCTTCTAAATGGAAGAGCCTAATTTGGCTATTTTTATCTGTGAGGGACATGACAGCTCCAGAGAATGTATTACCCTTCCTTGCACTAGTGTTTGAGAATGATGTCAATGTCATAAGGGGAAGGTGTCCATTCAGTCCATGAACTAGAAAACCTGGATTCATCAGTGAAAGTAAGTACATGATGCTGACTGGTCTGGAAATTGTACAGATCTTGTTAAAATTATTTTTAAGGAACAAAAAACTGAGAGGAATGAAGAGAGACGCATTATTTTCATCCCTAGGTGGCCAATCCTTAAAAGAAGGCTTCAAGGTTCAATTTAAGTTTTCGACAAGTTCATGGCTTTGATTAATAATTGATAAACTAAAAATAGGTACAAACTGTATATAAATAGCTGCCTACAAAGAAGCAGCAGCACACAAGAATTATTCCACTTCTTCGTATGACTAGCATGAGGAAGGAACCTTGTGGACATTTTTGGGTTAGACCTCACTCTAAATCCAAACATTTTTATTCTGACAGAAGTAACTTCCATATTTAAATTAGTGAAACAGATAGTAAATGAAAGACATTTGGTAGGGGAAGATAAGTTTCCACCAGTGATGCCCATGTCAAGAAACTTCCTGGACAGACTAGATTAGCAGAAGAAAATATATTGTACTCTTTCAGGTTTTGTCTGCACACACAATGATCCTGGAGAAGGAAGTAAAGGAGTTAAATTCTAAGAGGCTTTTCTGTGACAGAACAGGTATTCCTTGTCAAGGAGCACCACAGCACATCGTCCTTGGGTAATTATAGGGAACAGGTTTCCTCTGTATATTAGAGACCATCTCCAGTTCAGCTTGCTCTATTTCATTGTTGGAGGAACAAGAGGACATGAGGTAGGAGCCAACTGACAAAAAAATCACCTGCTTTTTTTTTTTTTTTTTAAAAGCTTGTACTGGCAGGACAGGAACATTAAAATACAATACTGGCTAGACAGAGACATTGTTGTAAGGGTAGAAAAAGGAAGGTAGATCCACAAGGACTATAAGTATATCTAAATAACTTCTAACATTTACAGGCTGAAAAGGAAGGCAAACATAACCAGGTGTCCTGGTTTCGGCTGGGATAGAGTCATTTTTCTCCCTAGTAGCTGGTATAGTGCTGTGTTTTGGATTTAGGATGAGAATAATGTTGATAACACACTGATGTTTAGTTGTTGCTGAGCAGTGCTTACACCAGTCAAGGATTTTTCAGCTTCTCATACTGCCCTGCCAGCAAGGAGGCTGGAGGTGCACAAGATGTTGGGAGGGGACACAACCAGGACAGCTGACCCAAACTGGCCAAAGGGATATTCCATACCATAGGACGTCATGCTGAACAGAAACTGGGGGGAGTTGGCCAGCGGCCGCTGCTTGGGAACTGGCTGCGCATTGGTTAGTAGGTGGTGAGCAATTGCATTGTGCATCGCTTATTTTGTATATTCTTTTATCATTACTATTACTTCCCTTTCCTTTTCTGTCCTATTAAATTGTCTTTATCTCAACCCACGAGTTTTACTTTTTTTCTGATTCTCTCCCCCATCCCACTGTGGGGGGAGTGAGCGAACGGCTTTGTGGTGTTTAGCTGCCTGCCATGTTAAACCACGACACCAGGACTGGCAGAAGAATTAGGACCCAGCAAATATTTCAGCCTTATTAGCAGTAATGGATCAATCCATTTTCCTATTTACACTCTGTGCAGCACAACTGAAGTTGATGAGCTTGCAGGGATATATCCGCAGGGAAAATCTGGCCGGGTGTATAAACACTACCAAATAATTGTGTTTATTTGAAGCATCCTACAGCCTTTTCATCTGCTGAGCCACAAACTGAAATCACAACGTTTCATTTAGGTTCAATTTATGCAAATTATGGCACATCCTAGAAGATAAGTACATATTTCTAATCTATACAAAATGATCGACTTACATCAGAATTAAATCTCAGCTGGCAAATGTTGCATGATATGATTTGCTTTCTTCGATGAGGAAGAGGAACCCCAAATGTATGATTTATTACAGCTTTTTGAATTGGGTCCATCTGTAAAGAGAGAAGAAAGAAAAATAAAAGCTTTTGCTGTTCCACTGTATGCTATGTTATCTATAGACTCAAACAAGATTCTGCATCATGCCATACCATATCCCACACGACAGAAAACTATTATTTTTCTTTGAAAATTAGTATTTCTTCTTCATGCAGTTTTACAGAGAGGTAATACAGAAAGGAACAAAGAAAAGTGTCATTAGCTATCTTGAAATACATATCCTTAGTTCAATTCTATATGCACCAATCTCCCTCTACTGAAGAAAGCTAAAAGCTGTAAATGCTGAACAAGTTTACCTATCAAAACACCAATTTACGTTTTTTATATCATAGAAAAGCCAGCTCACTAAATGAAACAAGAATATTTTAAATAAAATTACTAAGAAAAGGATCAACGGAAATGTGAAGGAGAATTATATACAAATAATTCCAGAATAACACACAATAGATCAGTATTATTAAAAAAATCATAATTTCCCAGGAACCAATAAATTAATCTTTTCCATAAAGTAACTTCTACACAACCTGTGAAAAATCCAAATCCTCCAAAGATTATTTTCACAGCCATTTAGAAGGAACTATTTTGAATAAACCCTACTTTAAGGATGAATTTTGACTTTCATGAAAAGCATTATTCTGAACTAACCTGTACCAGAACGCTGATCTGTCAGTGTCTGCAAGTCAGGGTCCCATAAAAAAATGTACCATTTTGGCAGAAAATTTCACAAAAGCAACTCAAGAGACCTTTTTACATGGAGGACTGAAATCAACTTCCCCAAATTCATTGGTCAAAATTATTTATATTTCTTTTTCAGAAGAAGAATTTGACAGCTATTTTTAAAATCTAGTAATAGCTTTACAGCAACTTGGTAAAGCCACTGATAGTTTTTATCTTTAAATTGTATTGTTAAAAATTCACAGATTGTGATGACGCCAATACAATTGTCTAACTCTGATGATAACCAGTATTCACACCGCATAATTTGTATGTGTCTTGAGAAAAAAAAGCTTTTTCTATGCTCATGTCCCCATAATTCACTTTTTCCTAGTCTGTTAGCAAAAGGTTTTTTGATAAATAAAGAATTGGAGCTTTTCCGTAGAGTAATCAATTATTCATGGCAGCTGTAATGGTAGACAGTCATGGCCTCTATTGCAGTGAATCCAGAACAGATCACTACAGAGATTTTGCATCACCTGACAGCTGTTCAGTGTCAGATATGAAATAGGTCATTAAAGTAATTCCTGTTGAAAAGAAATTCAGATTGGTAAAAAAAAAGGAACAAGGAAAATGGCAGAGCTTTACAGAAAGGTCTGGAAGAAATGCTCAGTTTGAACATCCTCTTCAATTTGATATGAAAGGGAAATATCTCATATATTTGTGCAACCACCAGCATAAAAGAACACCAGTCCCAGGAACTAGGGATGCCACTGTAACATAACCCCAAAATAACACTGATGGCTAAGGTCAGAGTATGGCAAGCTCTGAAACGCTACAGCATGCTGTGTAAGACTTTCTGCAGTGGTCAAAGCATGTGCTAGGGGCACTCATTTTACTCAGTAACATGATGTTGAAAAAGCCCACGGCCCAAAAATACTATTGTCTAGACCAGAAAGAACACCACCACATAGGAAAGTAAATAGTAACAACTCTTCTTTTTTCAACTGCTCCATTACCCAAGAGGTGACTTCTTATGTCAGCAGAACCAATAGACCTGTACTCTGTGATTTTCAACATTAAAGCATGACGTGGTCTTAATCGATGCTACTTCGCTGCTGCTGAAGTTTGGAGAAATCTAGCCTAAATTTCTAAAGAAATTTAGGCACTGTTCTTTTCGCCACTGCAGGTCTAAAATACTTAGGGAAATCTCAAGCTCAGATATATGAATAAGTCAGCGCATGGTAACAAGAAATTGTGCATTCTTTATTCCAGTGTAACTCTTTGCCTTCATATTAACCACAGTCGTGAGATACTATTAGTTTAGCCTTCAGTGTTAACATGTTAAACTCTTTCACATTATCTCACAAGTGCCGTAAGTTAAGAAAGCCAACAAAGAAGCTCTCTAAGGGTTATATGAAAGGTACCGCCATGGTTCATAAGATGGAACAACTAATTTTTTGAGTTGGATTTATCCATCTTCACATTAAGAATTCTAGCTTCTAATGGGGTTGGATTTCTGGGCGAACATTGAGAATGAGACAAATAGTTTTTCAGAATTGAGAAAAATCATGAATGTGTGGAATAGTTGGTCTACTTTGTATTTAATTTTATTTTGGTCTCATGGAAAAATGCGGAGTTTCTTTCCTAATCACTCCACAGATTTTCTCTTGTTTATCTGCTGATACAGAAAATCCATCTGCACACTTCTCTTTCTCTTTCTAAAGATGCAGACTTCTAGATACACAGCTACATGGCTTTATTGTGAACTGGATGATTTGTGTTTGTGGGTCTAAATGAAGAAGTGTTCTGGGTAGCCTCCAAGTTGATTAAGAAAAGCTGCTTCAAAGTAAGAATCCCTTCTCTGCCAACTGCTCTTTGATATTGCAAAGCAGAATTAAATTTCAAAACTTAGCCCCAGATTCTAATAAAGTTGGGGCAGAATGCTGTGGTATTTGACATTATTATTTTTTCCTGGAGATTTCGTTTGGGAAACACCACCAATCCATAAATTTCAAATAAACATCCAAAAGCACTAGATAAGCCTCCAGAAGCTTTATGCAGGAAATTTGAGAGAGGTAACAGGATACCTAGGTGCAGCATGATAAGCACTCAGATCTCTCAGACACTGGAAGACAGAGAGGAGCCCTGCTGAGAGTCAGAGGAACAAAGAGAGGCAGCTGATTGCCAGAAAATAGAGAGCAAGGATTGCAGGGAAGTATAAAGAGGGAAATAATATCATGTAGCTGAGATAATCAGCAAGTGCTGAGATACTTAACAGAATCTCCAAGCACTTCTAGGCTCACTGAATGTTACTAATTACACATATAAATTGTATTTTAACTTATGTAAATGGTATTAGCTTTCAAAATAAACGTTATCATGATAAACTTTTATAAAATCTGCTTTTTACTCATTACTAGTGCTATATTACAATCGCTGGTTTTTTATTTTATTTCTTAGATGCAACTGTTTTAATTTACTCCCATTTACAGTGAAGGACAGAGAGGTTTGCAATTCACGTGAAAGATACAGCTGTCAAAGCTGTGCAGGAGAGCAAGGTTTGCAAGATGTCCCTCTACTTCCTCTCGCCAATGTATTTGCACTGTAAGTTACAACACAAAGAGGGTGAGCTGCCCTATGACTTGTTCACTACCTTTTGCTTTTCTACTATCCAGCACTAGGTATATCTTACTATGTAAGGCAGGCTGTGTCACACTTTTCCTTGTGGTCAGTCTAGGGGTAGCACATTGCTCAAGGTTCACTGTAAACCACAAGGTAACTGCTAGTTTGGGCAATGAAGATACATATGAAAGGTTTCCTATTTCATTCAATTAATTTTTGGTTTCAATACCTAAAATGAACAGCAATAATATCGTCTGTGTGTTAATTATTCAAGCTGAAGTTTGTGGCAACATGGTATTAACTTTCTTTGATCAAATACTGTACTCCCTTCCCAAGATCTTCAGGGCCTTACCATACTTCAGCAAAATCCAGGCTTAAACCAAGGGCATGGCAGAAGTTGGCCCCTTACTCCATTTTTTTAGCTTTGACCTTACCCCTTTCGTTTGGTTTTGCTTGCTTGTTTCAAATTCAACCTTGTCAGCCCAATGACCTTAGCCACATTCTTCTTTGTTCTTGTGCTTACCATAAAGCACGAAAGAGCTCTTTATTTTATGGACTGCAGGTGAAAGGAGTGGCTTTTGTGTGAACTTTTCTGGATGAAACATCTACCACAAAATCACCAAGAAGTTGACCCATGTTGTCCTAACTGCCTGGGCAACTTTTCCAGAATCACCATAGCTGCTATCTTTGAAGGCCGTCTGTAGCCAAGTCTCCATCTCATTAAATTTCATTAAATATCTGCAGAAGGCAGAACCCGGGCTGGTAAATTTTACCTACAGAGAAATTTGATGCTTTGGAAATGTAAATTTTACATAATTTCCACAAATAATTACTAAGTGTTCTTTTTTTTTTATGCTGAAAATGAAATTCAAGCACATAGCTCTTCCTGAATTTCAACAAACTTTTAATATATATGATTTTTATTAGTCCTTTTTATGTGACTTGTTATCCCAGAGGCATAAGAGTATGTCTAAGTTAAAAACAACAACAACAACAACAACAAACTGACAGCAAAGGAAAGCATGCAAGTTTGATCCATAAAGGCTCCAATCACAAAAGGATATAAACCGAAAGGAGTTATTTTTATTTTATTTTTTTTAATTGTGTATTAAAACCAAGGGGCATGACATGAGCGTTTCAAATTCTTGAGGTCGGCAGTAAACTAATGGAGTTGCACTAACGTATATAAATAAAAGCATCCAGGTCAAAGGGTGAAGATAATGTGGATGTCCAGAGCCTGTTCAGAACATATGGTAGGCCTAAAACAATCAAATAAGTACGAAAGTATTTTCACCTTAAAGCCAAAGAGATTAGCTGCAAAAGATTGACTCAAATCACTATGGTCCTATACTAAGTGAGCAGAAAAACACATCAGGTCATTGAAGCTCTCAGGAAAAAATTGCTGTAGACCGTTTTAGTGGTAATTTACAAAAAAATTACCTACCAAAAGACTGACCTCCATTACTTGAATAGGTAAGTGAATTCAGTGACAAAGCTACCAACACCTCTCAGAACTTCTTAAAGTCCAGATGCTAACACAATGCAATGTTACAATGAAAAATAAAATGGAATGATATCCTGAGTACGGTTTCGTACTGTAGGTCTGCATTTCTACAAACATATTTAATTGTAAGTACAAAAATTAAGTCAAACAAGCACACTGTAATATTATTATACTTGCAGGCAAGGTATTAATATTCCCACATGTGAGTTGAGG